TGTCAAGTTATTACGCGACAAGGAGATGAAATGAGGAAGAGAGATCCTATTTCCACAAAATTGAAAAACTAAAATGTTTATTTATTAATTAATTTTAAAAAATATAAAAAAAAAATTCAAAACTTTTTTTAAAAACGATTAGCTGCATTCTTGAACACATCCTCCATTTCTAACCTTAAAAAAGAAAGACCTGTCTGTCAATTAAGAGGCAGTTATATTATTCTCAGCTCATTGAAAGGAATATTAATGCATACATGGATGTTCACTGGTCATGACTTTTATTGTAAAATACTTCCCGGTCATTTTCTTAAGCCTACTCAACGTATTGATTCAATCAACAATAATGAAATTTTACCTAACAATCTTGATAAAGTCACCAGTTGACCCAGCCATCCATGATTTATGGCCGTGATCTCGTCTGGTGCATTTAAACCAGCGAGAATATGCCGTGTAAATTTAGTGATAGATATCATTGCCATGACTTGTTCTTCCAGGTTTCCACCTGATGGAGATTTTGGAACGGTACTGTGTTAGAATTTCAACACCGCATGTAAGCAACAATGTCGTATTCGGTGAAACCGAGGAGGGATCACACTTTGCACGTAGTAAATAATTCAGTAAGACAAATACCATTTGTTGGAGTCAATGGTCTTTAACAATTAATAACCTTTTGTTTCCTGTTGTTTTTCTTAATAATGAAAGGTTAGAATTTAAAATTTCTGAAGAAAATGAAACTTCCTTGCAGTTCACTCAAAATAGAATCCGTATAATTTGTAATATCATCGTTCATGGACTTTTGCGTTGGTTCAAAAGGACTGTTTTTGATTTATGTAGAAATTTTACGTTTCTAGCATTTCATTGCTTCACATCTTTTTAACAACAAGAGCAATTGCTGTCAGTGGTGGGGAATATAGAGCTTGCGACAATAGGACAGGAGCTGTTGTTCTTCAGGCGGGTATGGATCTGATCAGGGCTTCAGTGGGGAGATTAGACAGACCTTCACTGACTTGAAACACCTGGAATTGAGCTTCAACACATTCAATGGCACAATTCCTGATTTCATTTCCACTTTTGAGAATTTGCAATATCTAAACCTATCAAATGCAGGATTTAGTGGTGCATTCCCTGCAAATTTTGGAAACCTCTCCAACTTGCAGGTTCTTGATATCTCTTCAAACTTTCTTGGTTTAACTGTTAACAATCTTGAATGGGTGACTGTTCTCGTGTCTCTGAAATATTTAGAAATGACAGGAGCAAACCTTTCAGCAGTAAGATTAGGATGGGAAGGGGCACTAGATAAGCTTCCATTTTTAACCGACTTGCACTTAATTATCTGCTTGTAGCTTATCCAGTTTCACCTCTTCTCTTACCTTTGTTAATTTCACTTCACTTGCTGTCAAAGACCTTGGCAAGAGAAAAAGAAAATGTTTTAGCTAGTTTATATGTTTATCTTCAAGACAAACATTCCAAACAAGGACGAACCTTTTTGAGCATGATCGACACTAGCGGGAACATCAGGAGGCAAGATAAACTTTTGCATATGCTTTATGTTAGGATACAAGTTTATTTACTACAGAAACTCCAAGGAAAATGAATTATTTGGAGGTGCCAAACAAGCACTCAAGTATGAATCAACGTAACATGATGTGCGTTGAGAAAACATGCACGGAGATAATCGTGTTTGTGCTCTTGATTATGAGTTATGAAATTCCAACTGAATGGACGAGAAGAAAAAAATGAAGTTTGAACACCCATGACATTGAATGGGTGTGAACATTGACTGCAGGGCCTCAGCATACATATCTGCAATGTGTTTCGAACTATCTTACTGTTGCAGTTTTTATTTCTGAACTTCTGAGATAACTAATAATTAAGTTAAAACTGTGAAAATGCGAAGTTGGATGCAACTTGAAAAACTGGAAACCATGGCGAAACGGTTGATGTTCTACTGATAATTCATGTCAAAGCTGCCAAAAAATCAGAGCATCTCAATAGCGTAGCATTTCACCAATAGCTTCAACTGGACGCAGAACCATCTGTCCTGGATGAACTCCTTTGACACAGCTTTTCCAATGAACTTCGTATGCATCGATAATATAAACACAACCCTGAAAAGATTAGAAGTAATCAGTATTTGGGTGTAGTTTTATGCTATCATTAAGAACTGAACTCTGCTCGTAATCCATCAAAAACAACTCTAAACTCTTCTGATTAAATTAGTAAACCTCCACTACACCTTATTTCTGGTTATTCACCTCTTATGCTCTCAAATCTCACAACATTTCAATGGATAAAGGGTAATAGAAATTACATTTAGAATGCACAAGAGGGAACCAGCAAGTGACCCTACTACAGCCAGATGCGCCAAGAAGCGAAAGTAAAAAATTCCCTGTTTAATAAAGGGCATGAAAAGGAAGAGCACTGTAGACTTGATTATGTCTAGAAAAAAGAGAAAAGAATGATGAGATATTGAAGAAATATAAAACTAATGAAGACCATCAAGCATGAGGGTGCAAGACCAAAAATACATTTCCAGGTGCTTCGAGCAGAATCAGAGGGTTAAATTGCCTATAATTAACATAGCATACTAACAGATTTCCCTTCATTACTTGTTACTTTCAAATCAATTTGGCCCAACAAGTGCATAACTCACAAATAAAGGCTTTCAAGTTCTATAGTATCTTCTTCAAAAAATTTCACCATTTTCAATGATGATTAATTTCCACAGCTCCGCACAAAATATTGTTCAACTTTCCACGTCCAGAAATTTGCCGAGCGTCTTGTGAAGATTGCAACGTTTTGCCAGATCTTGAAATGGGAGATTATTTCAGATGTGAAAAAGAATAGTAGTAAACATATAAGTAACATCAAATCAGAAAGCCATGCTGGATGAACTAAAAATGGTTGCGTCTGCGAAAGCCGTGACGCCTGGATGAACTAAAAATGGTTGCGTCTGCCGGGAGTCGAACCCGGGTCTATTGCTTGGAAGGCAATTATCCTAACCGTTGGACTACAAACGCTCGTTGCTGGTTCTTCGACATAAAAAGTATTTAAATATTTAACTTGATAGATCAGTCTGCAAATCTATGGGGGTATGCAAAATATTTAAACATTTAATTTGATAGATCAGTCTGCAAATCTATGGGGGCCATACTTGCTACATGAGGCGTGATCGAATCATGGAAACCTGCGTCGGGACTGTCAGGTGTGCTCGGAGTCTCTGCTTACAAAATTTGGTGCTCCCTCAATTTTCAGTTCAACATCCCTCAGCTTATCTGTCTTTTAATTCAAGCAGACTCGTAAAAGGCGTGATTTGGACAGACGGGAGAACTCTGGCCTAGTTGGATCTAAAACAACTCATGATTCTGACTTGCATCGTAGCATAAATGACCGGAATCATACCACCGGAGTGTCATGCGATGTTGACCCAATATTGCTTTTCCCAGTGAAAAGGGGGATCTCCTCTCGAAACCTTTCACGTTGAGCCCTTCAGCAATCTCATCATAGGACGGTGAACTCCTTAATTTGTTACCCAGGTCATTGTTAACTCCTGCAACTTCTGCCACATCATCCAGCTTATCACCAGCAAAATAATACAAATCTAGGGTAAAACAACAGGAAGCAAAATGGATATTTTTGAAACATGGAATTTCATCACAAGACTCAAACAGATCAAAAAACTCTATAAGCTACAACCCACAGCGATGGGGAGAAGTGACAAATTATAGCACTCCTATAGTTGCAAGGCATCAATTTACATTACTTGTTAATTAACTTATTGAATTAGTCGTTTGGGCCGAAGACGTAAACTATTCAACCAGGCCAAGAACTATGAAGGGTCATCTGATGTAGTAGACCTTCAGTGCTTTTCTAGGGGCCTGTTCTGGCTGCACCTGTCAACTCGTACATTACCTGGTATGGTCATTGGAACAAAAACCACCAAGCTACTATTAGGGATTTCATCTATTCCCTCTCTTCTTCACCTCCCTACCCCTCTGTTGCTGATTGGTGGAGATCTGTCCGTTTCCATACAGATCAAATGGAGCTGGCTGGTAAGGGGTACTTCAAAATCTTAGCTTTTTTTCCAGGATTTTCAAGAAATGAAGGAGGACTCTTTAAAGTTCAAGATGCGAGACATACTCCTATGATTTTGCCCACTTTTTGATGAAGGAAGAAGGCATCACGATGGAAACTGATGTTCTGAAGAAACATAAAACGGAGCTCGCAGTGCAATTATGACAGTTTCCAATTGGTATCCATTTACAGTCATTTCAATCAGCAAACTACTGCTTGAAACGCTCCACGACTTGACATATCTGAGTGTATCTCCAACTGAACAAATTCCTAAGATCATCATTCGAATCAACACCTTGTCTGAATATATTTTATAACCTAGCTTTCGTTTTAAGCAAGTTGGACTCTGCTTCTTTGCAATTGGTTGCTACTTTTGGTTTGTGTAAATTAGTTTGGATGGACAGATATATATTACCATGATCCAGTTTGTAAGATTAGTGGAATAACATAAAATGAAGAGAAGAAATAGAGAAACAGACGAGAAGCAGAAATTTCAGTAGAATGCTATAATCAGTTGTCCCTATCAGATAAATTTCAGTAGAAACTACAGCATTCTTAACCTAAGGTCAGTATCAATCCAAAATAATTGATATAAATCGAAGAAGACATTACTTTCCACAAATAATTGTCCTTAGCCTAGAACTCGGTAGAAATGAAAACCACTAGTGTTTCACCTTTGGAAATCAAAATAGCATGTCATTCTCAGCAGAAACATACAACCAGGAAAAGCCATCCGCAGTAAGTAGCCCCTGATCGAGACTAGACTGAAAAGTTACAATAATATAGGGACTGAATTGAAATGTTAGAAACAGTACAGGGGCTGAAAAAAAAGTCAACCCTCATCATCAAACCCGGAGAAGATATAAACTAACTAAACCACCAGCCTCCTTCCCCTCGCACTCTTCTCTCTCTTTCTCAGTTCATCCTATCGTCAATTCGTCGTTGTCGCTCTCTTTTTCTTTTTCTTTTTTAAATTAAATTAAATTAAATTAAACAGACAGATGGCAGCGGCACTTTTATCGCCAATTTTGGAGCAGTTAACGAGGATTGTTGCTCAAGAGGTAATTACTTCATACAATTTGCAATGATCTGATTACGCCTAACATGAATAAGAAATATAAAAATGAAGTCTTTTTTTCTTCCTTTATAAGAAAAATAAAATAAAATATCAAATCCTCAGATCTAGATTTAGATTTTATTAAAGAAATTTCTTTTCATTGTTTTATTGTTTTTCATATTTCCGGAAATAATCTAAAACAAATATCTTTAGAATGAAAAAGAAAGAGTTGTCGATCCTCTCATTAAACTGTAAAATAATCAATCAAATGTTAAAATAATTAGTGAGTGTTATAAAGGAAGAATATTTCCACTTTAAAACTATAGACTTTACAAATACCAACAAATACAGATCCTTTTATTCCCGATATTTCTTTGATCCAGCAAGCTTATGGGTTTGACGTCTAACAATTTAAGATTCATTATCTTCCTTCTTGTTAGTAGCAGAATGCAGACAGATATCATCATGATGATGATAAAAAGAAATATTATTATCTTTAATATAGAGGTTTTTAATAAATATTTTACATATAAATTATTAATGTAGCCAATCCATTTCACAGTACGTGTCAACTACTGCTAATCTATTAATTACAAAAAAAATAAAATTAAACATTTGCAGTGAAATCATAGAAATGTTTCCTCTACTTGAACTTCCTTATCTTTTCTACACTAATAGGTACAAGAAGAGGTGAACCTAGTAGTGGGTGTGAAGAAACAAGTCGTCAAGCTGAAAAGCAATCTCCTTGCTATTCACTCTGTCCTTGAAGATGCAGATAGAAAACAAGTGAAGGATGAGGCAGTGAGAGATTGGGTAGACAAGCTCAAAGATGTATGTTATGATATGGATGACGTGCTAGATGAATGGAGCTCTGCAATTCTTAGATGGAAAATGGGGGATGCTGAAGAAAATACTCACAGCCAACAGAAGATACGGTGTTCCTTCCTGGGATCTCCTTGCTTTTGTTTCAATCAAGTGGTTCGACGTCGAGACATTGCCCTCAAGATCAAAGAAGTATGTGAAAAGCTGGACGAGATTGCCAAAGAGAAAGCTATGTATGGCTTTGAGTTGTACAGAGCCACAGATGAACTCCAACGAATAACAAGTACTTCCCTTGTTGATGAATCAATCGTAAGTGGTCGAGATGATGAAAGGGAAGCTGTAGTAAGCAAGTTGCTGGGTGAAAGTAGTCAGGAAGCAGGGGACGTGTATGCCATCTCTCTAGTAGGGCTGGGCGGAATTGGAAAAACAACTCTCGCCCAACTAGCTTTTAATGATGCTGAGGTTACGGCTCATTTTGAGAAAAAGATATGGGTGTGTGTTTCAGATCCATTTGATGAGGTCAGAATAGCCAAAGCTATCCTTGAGCAGCTTGAAGGGAGGGCACCGGATTTGGTTGAATTACAATCTCTTTTGCAAAGGGTTTCTGAATCCATTAGGGGAAAGAGGTTCCTTCTTGTCCTTGATGATGTATGGACGGAAAATCATAGACAATGGGAACAACTGAAACCATCTCTCACAGGCAGTGCACCAGGAAGCAGAATTCTAGTGACCACTCGTAAACATTCTTCCCAACTGCTTGGAAGTGAAACTAGCAAAATAAGTGCTCGGATCTCATCATTAAACTCAATTTCAACGGATGACAATTGATTTGTGATGGTGTTGAAATTATTAAGATGCTGTGTAACAGAGGTGCTTTCTATCATCTTCAGGTTGAACAACTTCTTCATCAAGTGCACTTTGTTATTTGCTGATGGCTTCTCATACATCCCAAACAAGGCTTCCATCAATCTTGCTGTGGATTTCTCTTTTGTAACATTATGAGCAACTCTTCTTGACAATGATAGCCGGATAATGCCCAAGACTTGTCTATCAAGTATTTGCCAATCTTCTTCTGACATGTTTTCTGGCTTGCTCCCCAACAGAGAAGGATGAAGTTTCTTCCCATATAGATAATCTTCAATTTGCATTTTTCAATATCCAAAATCAGTTCCATCAAATTTTTCAATTCCTGCAGCCTTTATTTCATCAGCCATTTTTACTCTTTCTCGGATTTGAATCTCAAAAATCTGACCTTACAGATGTGTCCGGATGGCCAAAAATGCTGGAAACGACACTGAAATCACCCAAATCGGACTTCGGATGGCTCCGATTTAAACAATAAAAAATTGAGATAACTGGACGCTGCAGATGCAGCCACGTGGCAGGAGGAATAGTCTCTGCGCCACACCGGATCAAAACCCAGTTATGCTGACGTGGCAAGCTGACGTGTCAGACACGTAGGCAATGTGGGGTCCACATAATCTGACGTGGCAGATCCGCAGAGATTTTTTGCTGACGTGACAGTGGTGACGTGTCGGTTGACGTGGCGGGTTGACCGGTCAGACTGCTGATGTGGCAGGGTGCGCGTCTGCTGACTGTGCCGGACGGCTGACGTGGCTGTTGACGTGGCAGTGTCAATTTGCAGGAAACGGCGAGGAAGACGCGTGAAGCGCGTACGGCGCGTCTGTGCGCGTGGACAGTACTGGTGGTGGCGCGTGCGGGCATGCAGGACGTCGGATTTGCGCCGGTTTTTCACCAGTGGATTCCTCTCGTCGTCCTCTTCACGGTGGTATGTTCAAAAACACGTTTTGAGAACTTTGATTTTTGAGTTTGGATCAAACACCCTTTTTTTCAAGAACTTTCAAGAACAAGCTCTGATACCAGTTGTTAGGAGATCCAAACATTCAAACACACACAAATTTACGTGGTTCGGCAACTTGCCTACTCCACGGAGCTACTAGTTTGTATTAATCAAGCTCAAAAGCAATACAAACAACAAAACAAGGAGGAGGAGAAAACTTCTCAACTCAACTCAACTCTCACCCTTAGCTCTCTCTCTGTGTTTCTCTCTATCTCGTAGTCTATCTCAGCTATCAGTGCACCTTCTATTTATAGCTGAGGAGGGAGATGATTGTTCAACAATGATGGGCAAGTTAGGCACCTACCATTTGACTATGACTTCAATCATGGCTGCCACCGACTATGGCTGTCACCGGCCATTTATGTCCACGCACATAACAGGATGCTGGATTTTTAGGTATAGAAAAAGATGCGAATGCCATTATTAATGAAGGAGAAATTGCAAGAGTCACTGCTTTCCCCAAATTGAAAGAACTTGAGATTTGGTATCTCGAAGAAGTAGAAGAGTGGGATGGAATTGGAAGGAGAGTGGGAGAAGAAGATGCCAACCCAACTTCAATAATATCCATTATGCCACAACTTCGAGATTTGATAATTGAAAACTGCCCATTGTTGAGAGCACTACCAGACTATGTTTTGGCGACGCCTCTACAGGAGCTGGACATAAGTAGATGCCCCATTCTAACGAATCCCATTCTAACGAATCGTTACGGGGAGGAGGAGACGGGTGAAGATTGGCAAAAGATTTCTCACATCCCAAACATTTGTTTTGATGATTACGGGAGAAAGACAGAACTCTTTAATTAGAATCTGCAGGAACTCCATTTTTTAACAAATCTATTTTCGGCTCTCCATTTTTTCACGGGAAAAAGAAGAAGCAAGAGTTAGTGGATGAGGAGAAAGATACAAAAAAGAAGCACGACTTGGATTTTACTTCCTTTCTCCATTAATTTCTCTTACCATTTATTCTATCAAATGCTGCTGTGATATACCTTTCTCACATCCTCCATTACTTTGCTATTGCCATCCTTGTGCAGATCAAGCAACTGTTTTCTGCAATTCACAAGAAGAAATTTAGCACCAAATTCTGCTATTCACAGCAAGATCCTATTTGTATTTGTTTTCATGTAAGTGTTTTTAAAAATATTTAAATTTTATTTATTTATTTTAAATTAAATTTTTAAATATTTTTAAGTCATTTTGATATATTACTAATATAAAAAATAATATTTGAAAAATAAAAAAAATTATTTTAAAATATTGTAAAACAAAAAATATTTTAAAAAATAACTGATTTAGCCGGATAACACATCCAAATAAATGAGACAATGGTAAACTTGGAAGCTAAACCATTCATCTATAAGAGATGATACCCATCGATTTAATGGATTAAATCCAAATAAAGTTATCTAAACCTAACACAAAAAATCTTTAACAATAAATATGATTTCTGCTAGTGAAAGACAAGCCCCCTGGTGCCTGTGCTTTCTAAATGCCATCACGGCTCCATTCAAAGAACTTCCAGACAGAGGATTCTTCAGACCAATATATTTTATATACCCTTTTTCTGTAAATGGATTGAACTCATTTGTAATCTATTCTTAAGTTGGATTTTATTTTCTTCATACATTTATTCTATCACATGCAGCTGTGACTTTCTTTTTAGCATTTTTTCTGTTTTTTTTTCTTAATAAAAAACACCACACTGTGTCCTATAACCAGAAACAACTAAATCAAATCATAATTGTCGGATTTATCAAAATACAAACATAATTCATGAAAAATAAACTCAAGATGCCATGCTTTGTGAGCTTGAAAAATGGACCTTCAATGGAGAAAAAACCTGGAGCTACAGGAATTGGTGAAGGCCGCGACAGCACACGGTGGAACAGTGGTGACGCCCGCCCGCGAATGAAGTTCATGCGCCACAGCCGTGACAGTGAACTGGTAAGTTTAATCATACAGTCATTACACATCCAGAAATCTTCTGGTATTTAATTAATTCAACCTAATAACAATGGTCAGAGAGGCAACACCAAAACAGTGGTAGCCAGGGATTACGCCTCTAGCAAGTAGCAAGAGATACAGCTTTGCTGCAAAAAGCAAGAGAATTAATTTGGTCTGATACCTCGAAACATTGCGACTCCAGTAACGTAACAAAGGGAACCAGTCCACCGCAGGCTTCCGTCATTACATGTTCAAAAATCTCAGAAATAATATCATTCATCAGGTACAGAAAAAGAACATTTTGACCGGTAAGGCAGTTATAATTAACTAGAGATGTAAGGACTCAGAGATTTATTACTGTGAAAGGAAGAAACATTTACCATCATTCTAATTACAGTTAGCCATCTTTAGCAAGTAAAAAAAGCCAACCCCGTGTAAAGATAGTGACTGCAACCTCTGATGCAATCTAACTTTGGTGTATCTTCATCCTCAATCTTTTCTGAAAAATATGAAAGTGTATGAAAGAAAGATTGTATGAATTCAGAGAGAAGAAACAGGTAATATCATCATGAGCATCTGAAGTGGCTTCTAGATGTGTTTTTTGTAATAAAAACCTGGAATCTTCAAGTCACCTCTTCATCCACTGCCACTTTGCTTGGCATCTATGAATGAAATTCCTTCACGGTGGGGTATTATCAATGTTTTCCCAAAATCTATTGATGATATGTACTACTAATGGTTTTCTATGGAGAAAGACAAACAACAGAATCTCTCATGACAGCTTCTCTTCTCCTAAATTATGTGAAATCTTTGGCTTCATCGGAATGATATCTTCTTTAATAGGGCTGCTCCAAACCTTCAAAGCTGTTTTTCCTTGATCTTCGGCAGTTTCTCATTATGGCTGAGACTTGATACCAGTTCTTCAGACTCTTCTGGCGAGGATGTTCATAACAGCTATGATGGCATTGGTTTTGTAGAAAGGAGGAGCTGATTTGAATTGTTTCTTTCCTTTTCCCGCACTGCTATCCTTCCCCTGTTTCAAAACCTCTAAAGCTTGTTTGCTTCTTTTTTTTTTCAGTCAGCTAGAACTTCTGGATGCTAGGCTATTATCTTTTTAGCCATTTTCTTATAATACACTCGACTATTATAAGAAAAAAAGCATCTGAAGTGGCTGAATATATAAGCTTCGGTTCCATCTCCATCAGCATCGAATGCACCCGAGCTATTGGTGAGCAGCGCCAATGAGAGGGAAAAATAAAAAATACCATCCAGCATTTACTCTAACCTTCCAACTCATATATTCACAGAACTTTCAATCTTACCTTGCATAGAAACCAACAGTGAACCTTAGTGGAGAGGTGACTCGCAGAAACTTAAAAAGCGGAATCCACATGCAGACAGTAACTTGGCCAACTCAGTCGATTACTCAATGTAATTAATTATAGCACTCTTTGCTGATTATTTCTAAAAGGGACCTCCTCTAGCCTTATTTCGAGTCACCAGCTAGCTACAAGTCTTCAAGCTTTGAAATGACTAGTGGCGTACCACTCTGCCACTGGTAAGGAAAAGAAATCTCTTTAAAGTCACCAAGGAACTTTTTTTTTTTTTGACAACAGTGGAGATTTTATTAAAAATTTTGGCTAAAAAGAGAATAGCTTAATAAAATAATGATGATGATGATGATGATGATGATGATGATGATGATAAGCAAAAAGAGAAAGATAAAATAAAGAAGACATAAAAGCACGGTATCTACAACAGGTAGAAGAATGTAGGGGCCGGACAATGGATAAAAACAAGAAGTCAACTTCTGTTATCCCCGAAAAAGATCCAATCAGAGTTGATCCCTAAATCCAAACCGGTATAAGCAAAAGTTGTGCCATCAAACTTCAA